TTGCAATATCATTTTTGTGTTGCTCTAATTTAGGCTATTTCCTCACTGTATTATCCACCAAAGAAAAATATTTAATATGAAACAGAGATTTTATCCAAATATAATTAATCAAAGCCGTTCTTTGCTATAAATATAAGATGTGTTCTACTTTGACTTGCCAGAGCATTCCATTAAAAAAAAAAAAGATTTAGTGTGGTAGCAAAACTGTCAATAAAACTGGAAAATAGTTCCCCAGTTCGGAAATAAAGGTCTCGGCTTCATTCCAATATGTCTATATATAAAGACCTCAGTATGTACTTTACAGTGAATGGCTGTTATCGTGTCACAAAATTCAGTTCCACTGACATTCTGCTACAGTTACATCTATAATCAAAGTAAGGACCTTGGTGTCTCTCACTGCTAATGACACAATCCTTCCTATACTTGGTCCTCATCCCTGGTAGATGCTCCTTCAACCAACTTCTACAGCAGCCTGGCTTCCCCACAACTAGCTTGCTCCTTGGCTTTCCCTAGAAAGAGAGGGAACTCTGTTCTCACTCCTCACTCTCTCAAGCAGCTCCTTCACTTACTCGCCTCCTTTTTTCATCAGTAGCCCACTCTCCTGTGTTGAAGAGAGTGAGCCCATTACAAACAATGACTCCCTCTCTATTCCAGAGGAAGAGAGGAGACACCCACAATCACCAGAACAGAACATTAAAATTCATTTTATATATATATATATAATATGTATGTATGTATGTGTCTGGTTTGAGATAGGTCTGTGTTGAAGTGGAGGAAAAGAGTTGGGGAATATCTCCCCCTGGGACTTTTTAAAATACTTAACACAATCTGGTACTTTGCAGAGTTAAAAAATATTGTTGTTAAGAATTAATTATTTTTATGAACCCTGGAAATTTTAATTGTCTCTTGCAAGGATGATAGAGCTGTATCCAAGGCACAGCTCCATCAGATTCATGAAATCACCCCATTTCTTCCTTCAATTTGATGGTAAAAGAGTTCCCAAAAGCCCCCAAGAGTACCATCCAGTACATACTGGCACTAAAAAAGGTTCAGAGAAGGGCAACTAAAATGATTAGGGGTTTGGAACGGGTCCCATATGGGGAGAGATTAAAGAGGCTAGGACTTTTCAGCTTGGAAAAGAGGAGATGAAGGGGGCATATGATATGATAGAGGTATATAAAATCATGAGTGATGTGGAGAAAGTAGATAAGGGAAAGTTATTTACTTATTCCCATAATACAAGAACTAGGGATCACCAAATGAAATTAATAGGCAGCAGGTTTAAAACAAATAAAAGGAAGTTCTTCTTCACACAGCGCACAGTCAACTTGTGGAACTCCTTAGCTGAGGAGGTTGTGAAGGCTAGGACTATAACAGTATTTAAAAGAGAACTGGATAAATTCATGGACGTTAAGTCCGTTAATGGCTATTAGCCAGGATGGGTAAAGAATGGTGTCCCTAGACTCTGTTTGTCAGAGAGTGGAGATGGATGGCAGGAGAGAGATCACTTGATCATTACCTGTTAGGTTCACTCCCTCTGGGGCACCTGGCATTTGCCACTGTCGGTAGACAGGATACTGGGTTAGATGGACCTTTGGTCTGACCCAGTACGGCCATTCTTATGTTATGTTCTTATCACTAAGTTATTCTCCTCTCTTAATTACCAGCCTTGTTGGTTCATAACCCATTAGGACAAGACTTTCAACAAAAGTTCTTTTTGAACATTGAACATTCGCAATAGACCAGATTTCGCCTCCCTAGACCCATATGCTTTGGAGGGGACTTTTTGCAGGTCAGTGTGAGATAAGGAAAATCAGGGACCTTGCAGAACTCCTAAACGCCACATTGCAGGAAAGATGGGGGTGGAGCTGGAGACTCTCTTTGATCTAGTGTTTTTAAAAATCAAGGAACTTTCTTTTTATCTGTTAATGTAACTTTTAAGATAAGATTTCTTGTGTGTGTGTGTAAGTAAAGGAACATTATGGTTATTTAAAAGTATAGAAGAAAAAGAGTTAAGGTAGATAAGTATTTAATTACACTCACAGTTTATACAGTCTCTTAATTAAATGTATATATGTAAAATATCATATTGCATATTCCAAAAACAATCTTAACTCTTCCATTATATACCCTTCTACAATCCATCTTTCAGACAGACAGATACTATAATATCCGCAACTTAAGAATTTTTTTAAAATTGAGGAAATAAGTCGGTTCCAGTGCACTGATTGGATGGGCATCGAAAAATACAATAAACATTATTCAGACGATACATTTAACTTAGAAATTGTTGTTGTTAATAATAGCCACACCTTTTTTGTTCAGTCTTTATAAAAAGGTCAAAGTCAATATAATCCAAAAAGAGAAGAAAAATTCCTACTGTCAAACATGCAATCTAACATTAAAACTGACCAGCATTTCCAGTAAATAAAGATCATTCCAGATGAAACAAATTAGTATGAGTGAGTGCCCATCTTATTTGGCTGGAGGGAAAATAGCTGAATAATGAGCAAATCTGCTCCAGCGATAGATAATGTTCTAGTTTCTTAGTACGCCAAATTATTAATGTTTAATTAAAGCATTTATACAGACTCACATTGATATATAACAATATAATGGTGTGAAAATCTTTGTATTGCCAGGTGCACACAAAAAGGTCTTTCCAACTCAGGAAGGAAGCAAGGGAACTTGTCAACAGAGGTGGCAGTTTAATATTATAATTAAGGCTACGATTTTGTCACAGAGGTCGTGGAAGTCACAGAATCTATGATTTCCAGAGACTTTTGTGACTTCATCCCGCAGTGGCTGGAAGCTCCGAGCCACCCTGGGCGCCCCCCACCCTAGGCACTCCAAGCCACCGCAGGTGGTCTGGGGACTCCACAGCTGAGCTCCCCGTTTTGTGTCAGATATTTTTAGTAAAAGTCCGGGACAGGTCACGAGCTTCCATGAATATTTCTTTATTGCTCATGACCTGTCCCTGACTTTTACTAAAAATATCCATGATGAAATCTTAGCCTTAATTATAATTATTCAGTAAGACCTTTTTCACTTCCCTCTAATTCTTGTCCTTGCATTGAGCAGTATCTTAGGTAATGTTAAGTACTCTGGACAATGATGTCTGATCTACACATAGATGTAGATAAAACACACACACACACTTTCTCATCGAAAGAGGCTTTAAGATTTGCCATATAGAAAAATGAGGCTTTATCATCTTTATCCACCAAATTCTCTAAGAGCATCAAAGTCCCTTCTTTTGGCCTGCATGGCTGACCTCAGATCTTACTCCAATTTGATTTCTGCTCTTTTTATACTACCTGCAGCAAGCAGAATTCCATCTTGCTCTCTCAGATCAGACAGAGTTGTGATTATGATGCTTCTCTCTTTTTAATGAAGTTTTATGGGCTTTCCTCATGGGAATGCAGTAATTATTTTCAAATAGATCTTTATTTAGATTCAGAAATCTTGCAGATTTTCCAGAAGATAAAGTAGGTCTGAATCACCTTCCGCTAAAACTGCCTAGACTTCTTACATTTGTAGATCTTACTTGGTTTTCTAAGTATGGGCTGCAGCCATTCTGCCTTTCACTAATTTTGTAACCTGCTTGTGTTGGTCAGTCATGGTATTTAATTAATGAGATTTGCAGTCCCAAATCCTACACTTTTTCTTCTTTTTTCCATCTTTGCTCCTAGTTTAGTAAGTACAGAAGAAATTCTTTCAATTTTATTTTTCACAGAGGGCATGGCAGTGCAGAGAATATCTTGTTTGGACTTAACCCACTGTTAGCATTCCTTTCCCAGAAAAATCCTCTGGCTGAATGTCAGCGGGTCTAGCTGACCAGATGCTAACAAGTTCTAGGCTCAAAGAAATCCTGATGATCATTTTTATTTTTACTTTTATTGGGCATTTTAACTCTCCAGATTCACAGTCATATGAAGTCTTTTTATATATTTATTTACTTAACTGTTTTTCAGTGAAAGAAATAAAAAATACCACCTTCCACTGATTAAGCAGGAGCTCTCCCTGCTTAGACCTTGCCCCCCATTTAGACTATTTTTAAAATAATTAACTACAAATGATCTTGATCTAGATTCTACAGACATGCTGATTCCCTTTTCAACCTTCTGGTACTAGTTAAGATCATCTTCCCTTTCCTGTCATTCTACCCATGCCACCCCCACTGTGAATGTTTCCTGGCTCTCCCTTCCCCCACTCATGATGTTCAGACTCCTTGTGATCAATTTCAAGGTCCTGCATAACTTCCTTCATTACTTATCCCTACTTGTTTCTTATGTCATCCTCCCACATTCATGCTGCTCCACCAATGAAACCAGCTCCATCCCACCTTATCTCTATATATGCCACAGCTACCACCACCCTTTCTTTTTTACCTCTAATGAATGGAATGCCATTCCTAAACTGGTCTGTAAAGCCACTGCACTCTCTTCATTTCAGTCTCCCCTAAAAACCCACTTCTTAAAAAACTAGTTAAATCATCTACTGTTCTATGCCCTTTACTCTTCTCCTGAGTGAATTGCTCATCTGTGTGGAGGGAGATAATTGAATGCTGGGAGGAGGAGGCAAAAGAATACTGGAACTGAAGCTGGGAAAGACAAATTGGTTGAATTGTGGAGGAAGGATGCAGGGAATTAACTGTGATTGACTTAAAAAAGACAACAGCAGCAACAAACAAACAGGTGACTAATAAGTGCTTATGATTGCCCTAATCTCTTTACTTGCATGTGGCCTCACTTCCCCCTTTCTTCCTCTCCTTGTCCTTTTTTAGAGTGTATTCTTTCTAGACTGGGGCTGTTGTCTTCCTCTGTGGTGCACATTTTGGATGCTACTGCAATATGAGTAGTAATACCTGTATGTAGATTTTTCTTAATTGTTTTAATCAAATTGAGGCTCGTAAAGTTTCAGTAGGTATCTTTGAAATTTTACTTGAATGTAACTTTTTTCTCTTTTAACTCACTTTTGTCTTTTGTTTAATGTTGAAGGTTGCAGCGATTAGCAAAAGATCTTCTAAAGCAGTTCCAAGTACAGGATAGCAGTTCATTGGCAAACAACAAGGTTTCTGCTCTGGACAGGACTTTAGGAGAGATTTCTCGTATTCTGGAAAAAGAGGTATTATTTATTACATAATTAACTCATGGAATGCACAGCTTAGTTGGAATCGGGAAAGCATTCAACATGTATGTACATGAATATAGGAGTTATAAACATTCCTACTTCAGGGGGTTAGGAAGAAACTTTCCATATAACCTAGCTGTTACATAATTGACCATTCTGGAGATTCCAGCTCCTTCCCCAGATGCATCTGATACTGACCAGATGCTCTTCATAAAAAAAAAAAAACTTTTTACTATAAAAGAAGTTACAGCAAACAAAACATGACTTTATAGAAAAACTATAATTTGATTTTTTTTCTTTTACTGTTTAAACAGATTTTTCCAATAAAACCTGAGATACAGGGAGTACATTTCTCCCCTTTTCTTAATTTTGTGAAAGTCCCCGCCCTTTTTTAACAGATAAATTAAAGACCACCACTGCACACGTGATTCATATGTACAGTGATTTTCTCTGGTTATTAGATGAAGATGAATATTGTTTTTAGTTTTGGATAGCAACAGGATTACATAAGCTTTCTGTGGTTTATCAGTAACTTTAGACATGTGTATGCTGTTACCACAAGTAAACGAAGTTTAAACAGATGGATTTGACATGGATTTTTTCCAGTTGCTTTTCCTGATATTTTAGAATACTGCCAGATTTAAGTAGGGAGCCAGCTGCAAGTCTTATGAACCTGAATAAGTAACTTCATATCTGCCAAAATCTATAAGTTGATGGAAATTAGAGAAGCAAAATTTTCTGTGACCCATGTCACAAAGTGTAATATTATGTTATATTAAATTGTGGCAAATATTCCTTCACTTCTAGTTCATTCAGATTCCACAAATGCTCAAATAACGATATTTAAGTCCTGTAGAATTCCTCCACTCAGTGCTTGTGCATACCAACCATGACAATTATGGATTGCCAGTCACAAATATAGACTAAGGAAAGAATGTGGCTTAAATTCTTAGATATACCTGTTATCCTCTGAATGCAACTGCGGGGGCTGAATAGCCAGCCACGACTCTTTGATCGTGAGGCCAGTTCTGCACTGGTTATAACCCCAACATAGGGTAGAGCAGCCTTGGCAGTGGTGCTGTTTGAGGTATTTGAATTCTACTGTTGGCAGGTTATTGCTCCCTTTTGTGCTCTCACTCTGCCCCCCACAGCTGCACCAGCTTGCAATCATTTACATCAGGAGAATCCTTAGCTAGGAAAATTCAGCAGCTCTCTGGCTTATTTACATTGCCAGACTGGCACAGAAGGTTCCAAATAAATGAGAAATCTAGCCTTGTAAATCTTTTGTTCCCTTAACCTGTATATATTTCAAATGATCATGTTACTTTCACAATAAGCTTTCAGATTCACTGGTGGACTTGTGTTTTTACTTTTTTAGCACAGCAATTCTCAAACTCACAACATTCAGTTTAGAGTAGTTAGTATCTTTTAAGCCTCTCTCATTTTCCTCCCTCTTGTCCATTTTTGAGAAGCAATTAATACAATTATTACATTGCCATAGGAATGGTTGCCATTTGTGTTTCCTTTCCCATCATGTTAGAAGGTTAAAATGACATCATGCTGCCTATATTACCAAGTATAGTGGCTCACAGAGCTCAGGAACAGACTGCTTGGGTAAACAGTACTGAGTGATGGTTTTCAGCAAAAAGGAAAAAAACATTTATGTTATTATTGCTGTCAAAGTGAAATTGAAGTATGGTTTATATTGCTACTGATACTCGCAAGCTAAGAAGGAAGTATCCCATTTCTTATTAGAAATGTTACAAAGAACTGAAGTTTGAAGAGTTCTCTTTAGTTTGCCTTTTTTTTCTTTGTACTTGAAGTGAAAATTTTCACTGGTTGAAATAGTACATTCCAGTTAAATAATTTGCCTATATCTTCTTTTAGAGCCTATCCAAAATACACTGAAGTCAGTAAGTGTCTTTCCATTGATATCAGTGGGCTTTGGATCAGGCACTTGGAGAACATGGGCCAGTTCTCCTCTCCCTTGCATCATGTGTAGTCCTTTACACCTCTGCAAAATGAGTGCAGAGTAAAATACTGTCAAATCAGCACTTTGCACAGGTATTAATAAACATACAAAGTGCAAAGCAGTGAAGTCTCAGACCTGATATGTTGGGTTGGTGTTTTTGGGAGGGGTGAGGTGTTCCTCTTCCGCTGGCAAGCCTTTTATGTTTCCCTTGTGTTTTACTGCATGCTATATGTGGCACATTGCAATGTAAGTCACCATTCTACAGCATAAGTAATGGCACTTATGTGAGCCAAATTTTGTCTTAACACCTTCTGCAAACCCATTGAAGCCAATGGGCGTGATTCTTATTTACATTGACCGCTTTACACAACTCTGGCAGTGTAAAAGTGCCTTAAATGGATGGAAATGCCCCATATAATATCCACAGTGCAGAGAGCTCCCCTGGCTGGTATAAAACTAGAAGAGGGGCTCTACAGTTGACCTAACCCCAGGTATAGGGGTTAGGTCAGGGTGTGAAGGGGGGCATGGCTGAAATTCCATATACTGTGGTTATTTTCTGATTTCCAGAGCCTGTAAGAGGCCATGGGAAGCAGAGAGTAAGTTGGAGCAGCCTTGAGGTTACTCCAACTTACGCTGGGGACCAGACAAGCTCCTGAATGACCCCAAAGTACAGGGAGCACAAAGGTGACTTAAATTTACCTTTAATTACCCCTTCATTCCTGCCCCAACCACAGGACTGGAATAACTGAGTATCAGACCCAATGGGGTTTCCTGCACTGTATGACAGGAAGGAATTTAGCCCATTATTTCCATTATTATGGTGGTAGTAGGTATCTTAGGAAATCCTGTGTCAGCTTTGTGATGGTACATTGTTTCATGACTGTGTTATAGGTTGAAAGAGAGACAAGGTATGTGAGGTAATATCTTTTATTGGACCAAATTCTGTTGGTAAAAAAGAGAAGCTTTCAAGGTTACACGGAGATCTTCTTCAGGTCTACAGCAATGTTGCACAGTATAGGTAGAAATGCTTTTTTTTTATTTAATAGCTACAGTAGAATCAATCATTTTGTCGAGGGTTTTTGTAGCATGGAAATTGCAATACAATCTGTATTCACATAAGTGATTACTCAAAAATAGAAGACAGTAGGCCAAATTCTGTTCTCAACTACACTGGTGTAAATAACTTCAGTGGGAGTTTGAGGTATTCAATAGCTCTCAAGGTCAGGCTGTTATTCAATACGTTCCAAAAGTGGACATCATTAGTGCAATTAATAGTACACTCTTCCATTAACTCATGGTGTAAGGGAGAAAAAAAGAATTCTTTAAACAATCAATATAACTTTTATAACTCAAAAGCTTATTTTGATTTGATCCAATATTATATAAGATGGATCATAGTTTTAGCAATTCTAGTTTAATTATTGTATAAAAGAAATTGAACTCTTCTGAACTAAGAAGAAATTGAATTCTTCTGATAAAAGGCAAGCAAGCATATATTACATATCTGTGTTCTAGAGTGCTCCGTTCGAACCAATGCTGCATATATATTTACCAGGAGAATATAGTTTATCTTTGCTCTATTTAGCATTGGTGCCAATCAGATAATGGAATAGTAGCTGTAGTTGTTTTCAAGAAATATTGCAAACATACGCTTTAAATGATGTTTTGAAAATGAGGCCATTACTCACGGCAAAATTTGGTTTGTTTTCTATATTTCACCCTTATCATACTTAAGGAACTACACTGTAATTATAGAACTGTAAAGAGTATGAAGTCTCTTTCTCTTACCACTGCTAATTTTGCTATATTGCAATAAATTAAATAATAACAACAATCAAAAATAAATGTGCATAAATTTTCCTCCGATCAGTGTCTCAAACAGATTCATTGTGAGTCATTTCACTGCAGTTGATATCTTATAGCAATTATGTATTTCTTATTTTACATAACTACTTATATTAGTGGTAGACCATGAAACCAATTTGAGGGAAACAAATTAGCAGTTTATTTAAATATATTTGCTTATAAAAGAGTAAGATTCAGTAGATGATGATTTCATTGAAAGTGCATATTATATAATACATATATATACGTGTGTGTGTATATGTGTGTTTGTGTGTTAAGTTTATAATACAATAGGATTCTATTTTCTTACACATGCATATGGGGTTTATATGAGCAATGTCCATTAATGATGATTATCTATGTGAAATCCATAAATTTCCCACAAATTTCTGCAGATATGTTGGCAAATAGATACCTTAGGTGGGAGGAAAAAATCACACACAGGACCTAGCAATATAAAATGTGGCCAGTGTTTCATGCTGTGTTGAGGAAAGTTGCTACTTAAGGTCCAAATCATGACCCAGCTTACTTGGTGATACAAAGCTGTAAGGGCTTGCTCCACAGAGGAACTCAGGCATTGCAACGCTCAGCATTGCCACACCTAACTGTTAGGTGCCTAGAAAGTCAGTGGGACTCACAAAGCTTGAGTTAGGCACTCAGACTCCATGTACAGTGAATGGAGGGAGATAGGCGCCTAAGAATGGGATTCACAAAAGCTGACACACTAGGTGGCTCCCCACTAAGATAGCCAATGATGGGAAGAGTAGATGGAGCTTTGATTCTGCTCCCTCTCTCTCCAGTCGGCAGCATAGTATAAGCCAAGACAGTTTGCTTCCTCCCTAAAGGAAACAGGGAACCCAGGACAGTGATGGACCCTTCCTGGGCTGCTGCAGAGGCTCAGAGCAGATCATGTAGTCATTAGCCCCAAATGGCAAAGTTTATAGTGAGAATCTGCCAAGCACACATCCCAAAGAAAACATTAACAAAGTGTTGTTACAGTGAAGACACAACGATCATACATACTCCTATTTAAAGAAATATCAAGTGATATATAATATGTCCTAAGACATTTCTCCTAGAATATTATCTTAAAAGCTGAATTATTTTATATGAAGTACGAGTACAGTTCTAATAAATACAATCATAATAAATTGGCTGTTAACTATTTGCATCACCG